TCATTAAATAAAGCATAACTAGTTATATTATTCTAATCAAAAGTTATATTATGCTAGTTTAATATTTTTTTAAATTTACATATGACCTTTACCATCTAGTATTGTATACAATACCTAGTGTGACACGATTTTTACATAGTGAAAAATTAAAAATCATGTGTATTATACAATTGTTTACATTACATGGCACATGTAAATAATATTCTAAAAATAGATCTACGTTATTTGTCATCGGGTATTGTTTTGATTTACAAAAATGTGATTTTCTCAAAATAATCTAAATGTCGATTTCCCCCCTTTTTGTAGAACACATCCCATTTGATCTTATTATCTTCGTTAATAACAAAATGCCATCCACCATTACAACAGTATGTTACATTACTGACTGACAAAAATCCACCACAAGTAAAGCTCTTACTATTGTTAAGGCTACTAGAGTAATGCACCTTAGAACCAGTGTCTCCCCCTTAAATGTTCTTTTAGTTGGTTTCTATTCTCAAAACGATGATACCCCAGATCAAACCCTAGCAACTTTTTCACCTGAAGATGTTCTTTTGGTAACTAGCAAATTTTGGTTTGTTGAAAACTTAGATGACGAAGGAAAAAAATTTCCTGTCTTAAAAGTATGTCTAGTATTAATAAACTGCAGGTTTTACTTTCTTTTTTTCCCCTTTTATATAAATAAATAAATATTTTTTTTTTTTTAGATTGTTTTGCACCACATTGTTCAATTAACTATCAATCCGACTGATTTGCCTGCATTTCCCTTATTAATCAACATGACTGCTATTGTAGTTGAACCCTCATAAAGTGAATCTAATGATGATGATATTTCATTAGTTGTGAAAACCAGAGACTTCATGAACCAAGACCATACTGTTCTTAAACTAGAATATTATCATCTAAAATCAGCGCAACACCTTATTCTGACTACTACTTCTGCAAAAAAAGGATCAACTCTTTTTATGAATAGAGAACTCTTAATTGATGATGACTATACTTTTATTGTTCATCTTCATAGTATAAACTTCATTGAACATCAAAAATCAATCAATGCAAAAAATCTAACTGATCTCCTATGGCTAAGTGGATCAAATGAACCTCCAGTAAATGAATTAGGTACTGAAAAAGTTACACACACAATTGCTTCAAGAGTCAAAGGTAGTAGAAGAAAGAAGACGTCGACTACAGCAAGATCATATCTTGGTTTAAAAAATCGCCCCAAAATTAGTGACCTTGCTAAAAAGGCACTAAACCAAAATCAGAGTGTTGATGTTCCCGACCCCTCTACTCCTTAAATTATTTAAAGATTTTTTTTTATTTTTTTTTAAGATTTTATCTTTTTTTTTTTTTTTTTTCTTTAAAAGTATTTTTTTTTTTTAAAATTATTGTTTTTTTATTTTCTCCTCAAATGTATGAATTTGATTTATTTTTTAAATAAATATAAAATAAATAACGTACTTATATTCATTATTGTTCACGTTTTTTTTTTTTGAAATCTCATACGAGAAACGCCAGAGGCAAACTTTTTTATTACATATTTTAATAATGATATTCAATAATAAACAATTGCCTTACGTTATATTTATTGCCTTCTTTCCTCCTCCAATTTTCAAATAATATTCGCATCATATATACTGTATGTAATTTTTAATAACACCTGTAGTTAGTATGAAAAACGTTAATAGATAACAGGTTATAACAAAGCGAAAAGCGCAAAAAAAATCAAAAATGGTTTTGATTGTAAAAATCTAGATAATCGCCTTAATACATCATTTAATAAATTATATAATCATATTCTCTTACCAATTCAATGTACTAAATAACATCATTCAATATACTATTTAACCTATTAGTTAATATCATCACGTAAATTAATGAATATATATGTTTGCAAAATTATGTTATAATACTAAATAATAAATTAACTAACATATTGAGTAGCATCCAAAGAATACTA